TTATACTGGAATTGGCAGTTTGTTGTTAGAAGATTATTATAACATGTATCCTATAGGATTTCTACCAGGACTTGAAAAAAAGTTTGTTGTACTGAAAAATTTGTTGTACCGGTATTTGTTGTAACAAGATTTTCCTGTAATTATACAAAGATATGTACACTTTTAATAAAGTACACAACTCACTGCTCCTTTTTTGGAAGACTCAAAGAAAGTTATGAAAGCCAGAGGCAAGGACACGTTGGCGGGGTCTTGTTTCGTTGGCCTGGCGTAGCGCTTTTTCGTTTCAAATGTGGCAAGAAGGTGCACATAGGCAGAGGGATGCTTCGTTTTCCACCTCTTCAGTTCTGCCTCTCCAAAGACCTGTTCCAGGAGTTTCTCGAAGGCTTTGTCCACCTCTGAAAAGAAAATCAGGGTCCCGAAAAAAATTATTCATGCAATTATGGAGAATCGAACATTCTGGACTAATATATTTATAACGCTTTAATTTGCCTTCGAATGTCAATTTTCACAAACTTTTTCGTATTTTAGTTGACTGCTTTACTAATTTTCTGATGAAAAAAAAAACTCAGAAATTTGAAGGAATGATATGAAAGCTGAGAATAAAATAGCCGGAAAATAATTAATCCTAATATTTCTGTAAATGTGCAACCACGCGATTCTTAGCCCCATTTCTGTGGCATTTTTCTAAAAAAAAAAAAATCTCGTTGCCAAAAATTGCTTGCAGCAAAAGAATGTTATACTTGATTTCACGAGCATTTCAGCATTGAAAAGGGCCGAATTTTGGCAATTATAGATATTTTCAAAGTTAACAGAAAAATAAAAGGAATTTTGGGAATCTGATGCACCTGAAGATTTTTAATTCTCTGAAAATCCTGCTCAAAAATGCCAGTCTTGGCTATAGCTTTTTTTTTTTCGTCAAATGATCAAAAGGAATAATCACTTCTTTACTTTTTGTTTTGTTTTTTTTTCAAACTAACCAATGGATCCGCAGGCATCCCCACTGGCCTTCTGTATTTCCTTCATGTTCCCTTCAGCATCCATGATTTCATGCACAGTGATGTCCACAGTTCCTCCACCGCAGTCCACCACCATGTAAGTTGTTCCTGCATGTAAATAAAGATGGAAAAATATATCCACATCCAACTTATCAGATGCCCTCAAGGCATTTTGTATTACAAATAATTAATTTGCATTCAAAACTTACAGTTGAACCTTGATACATGCTCAAACCTCCCTAAGTTGAATTTTTCTGAAAGCCCTTTCAGAATTTCCTTGGAAATAATGCATTAAAACCTCACTACCTCAAGGGTTTTCCTACTCTAACCTCCTTAAATTGATTTTTCTAAAGGGCTTTTGGCTATTAATTCCTTGACACCGGAAAGAAAAATGCATTAGGAATGTAACTTGCACATGTTTGAAAAGGAAGTGTAAGACTAATCAGGCAAATTAACCTTTGCATTCCAGTTCAGCATCTTTTCAAATCATTCAACAAGCAATTTGAGACCAAGAATATCACCACTTACAATTACAGTTGAAGTCAAATACCCCTCAAAGTTGATTTTTTTTTCAGGGCCAGTCTAATTCCCCGCAGAATTAATGCCTTAAAAACCTCCCTAAGTCAAAGGCTTTCCCCCTCAAACCCCCATTACTCAAATTTTCTGTGGCCTGATGGCTTTTACCATATTTACGAAAGTACCACGCGCACCTTTTTTCTCAAATTTCAAAAGAAAAAAGGGGTGCGCATCATAAATGGGTATAAATTTTTCAAGAAGTTTTAGGAAGTTATATGTGAGCATTATACTTAATTATAAGGGAGAAATTTGGAAAAAATGTAACAAGAAAACTTTTTTGGATTGAAAAAGTTGAAAATTGATCAGATTTTTGTTCAATTCATGTCTAAAGTCAATTTTTTATTTTCATTTTCAAAATTTTGTGGTTTTAGATCCATTAAAAATTGGGGTGCGCGTCTTGCTTGGGGATAAGATTTAAGCCAAATTTCCAACTGAAAAACCCCTGTGCGTGCCTTACTTGAGGGCCCATGGTACTTGAGTAAATACGGTATTTTTTTGACATAAGAAAGAAAAAAGTTATGAAAACAGAAATTGATTTGTTTTAAAAGGAGGTGAGAGACTTAATTGGGCGTATGAACCCTGCCTCCAAGTTCAGGATTCTTTCAACTCATTTAAGAAGTAATTTTCACCCTCAGAATATCACCATTTACAATTTTGGGCAATTTTTATATTTTCCCAGAACAAAAGGGCTTTGCATTGTAGCTGAATTCAAAACCTCCCTAAGTCGAATTTTGCTTGCTGGTCCCTTGAAATTCGACTTCGAGAGGTTCGACGGTATTAAAATCATTCTTTCTTTTATCTTCCCCCAGCAATAAAGCTGGCATCCCAAACTCGGATTTTTTGTGCTGCATCCCTTGAAGTTCCACTTGAAAAGGTTCAATTATACATTTCATGCAGCACAAGGCGAACCTTTTTCGAGCTCCTTGATGACGTATTCAGTGAAACAGGTGTTTCCGTGCCAAGTGTGGGTGCTCATGGCTGGCGATCTGTCTTTCAGGTCCCAGAACTTCAGCTTTCTGCAATAAATCGCTGCTGCTTCGGGTTCTAGTGCGATCAGCAAACGTTGTGGTTGATCTGCTGATGCCATGCCCGCCTGTGGATATGAAACATGCAATCAAATTCTTGTCACAAATTCTTGCAAAAATATTGTGATCAGCAGAGGAAAGAAGCACAGTAAACACAAAATTTTAGAAATAAATTTAAATAATGCATGGAATACAGGAACATATTGAAAACAAATTTGTTGCAGAAAATGATTCTTCATACAAAGATTTGCTGACATGAGGTTTCACTATACAGCATGCAATTAATATTGTAGGTGCACCACCTTTTCTCACAAACTCCTCATGTAAATCAACCAAATGCAATACAGTCAATGCATGGTTTAGTGGCTCCCAATTTAGTGCTGCCCTTGTGCCACTAATTTCCCTGGAACAAACCTCTGGCCCACACTTTTGTAAATTGTGTAAGCAGTTATTGGCATCTAATTTGGTGCCCACTCATTCAGTGCAATAAAAATGCCTTGTCATCCACATCCCCATGTTCATATGAAAAGTCAGGATAATTTTCAAAATTGTGCTTTTGAATTTACTTTGTTGAAAATATTATTGTTGCATGACACCTTCCTTTACTGAAAATTGTATTAGAAATGGGGAGGTTTCCTGGACACATTGGTGATCCTGGCTTAATGGCATCTGATATAAAACTCAAACTCAAACACAACTTCAAGAAACAGCTCTGCTATTCTATTAGACACAATATGTGTAGAAGTCTGCATATATTCTGTTGTATTCACCCTTGTGCAGAGAAGTTGGGATATTTTTTGCAAAATTGTGTGCCCTTGAGCACTGAAAATAAAAAAATTTGTATTTTTGGACCAAGGCCAGACAATGTTTCAGGACAAAGCATGGCACCAAATCAAGGTTTGACTATTCTGCATGGTAGCATATTTACGTTATTCCAGCATCCCGAAATGGGCTGAATTCAGTATGAAATCATGTCTATACATATTGAATCAAATTTTGAGCGTTATTCTTTTTGAAAGATTACAGTTTTAGATTCACTAAAAAAAAAGGGGCGGGTATAGTGCTATACTGAGCGTCTCAATTGGGGATAGAATTTTATTTAAAAAAAAAATTTGTTGACGACCAAAGAAACCTATATATAGCTGCTGGCCCTCCTTCTCGTCACTCCAGCATATAAAGACGGGTAATGTGCGAACCTTGTAGGCAGCTTCGCGCATGAGTTGCTTCGCTGGCTGGCGCCAGATGGCAGGCACGGTGAGCACCCATCTGACGTCTTCCTCGTTGAGGCCGGCGTCCAACCCGCAGCCCTCGCCAATCTCCGCCAATGCGTGGTCCCTGAAGAATTGCAGCGCGTGGCGGAACACGACCGCCGCCGGCAGCGTCTTCCCGTTCACCGCCATGATCTCTGTGTCTCTGCTCAGAGACTGCGCTCGGAAGAAAAATCAAATAAAAAATTCAATCAAAAAAATTACGGGCTTTATATTTATAAGCAAACATTTTTTTAAATTTCATTTTGAAATGCTCATCATTGATCCACATGTGAGAAAAATAAAACCTCCTCATTAGCCTTGTCGCATCCTGAAACAGCACAGCTGCTACATGTGGCCAAGAAAACTTGTTGCATCTTGAGGCCAGTTAGACTTGCCAATTAAAATCCTGTTTTTGCAAGACTCACTGAACCTCAGCCAAGGCCCAAAATTGGCCAATCCTGAGCCAGGAAGAAATCATCTGATTGCTTCCTGGCCCAGACTGAGCACCCAAGGATAAACGCTTTCATTCTTCTTCGAGAGGCCAGAGAAGTGAGAATCTTGTGTTAAAGGGCCTTTTATCTTAAATTATCTTATTCATTCTCCTGAGCTAACCAACTAATCTTACAATTGATTCTGCAATTCCAAACAACCATTTCATCAACAGCCAAATGACAATGTGGGCAATGAAAATGAGAATGACAATCTGGCCAGGAAGAAATCACCTGATTTCTTCCTGACCTGGTCTGAGCACCTGAGTATATAAAAGCCTTCATTCCTCTTTGAGAGGAGCCGAGAGAATCTTGTGTTAAAGGGCCTTTTATCTTAAATTATCTTATTCATTCTCCTGAGCTAACTAATCAATCGTACAATTGATTCGGCCATTCCAAACAACCATTTCATTAAGAGTCAAATGATGATCTGGGCAATGAGAATTAACTCTGCTGAAAAGAGTTTGAGTTTTTATTCAAAACTTGCATTCTGATGGCTGCACAATTCAGTTCCTTTGTCTGGGATCCAATGGACCCATGACAAGCCTGACTTGGCAAATGATTTAAATGTGCATGTATGACGGGAAAATTACAATTTTGAGCAAATGTGATCTTCAAGTCATTTATTGTATCACTTGACATTTTTATTTTTTAAATATTTTTCACCTTGTACACAAGGAATTCTCGTCAGCTCACTCAACGATTATTACAGGCAAAACTCAACTNATTTTTTTTCAGCTCAATTATATGCCATTTTAACTTCTATTCTGAGAACTTTGGTTAGACCCCTTGTATACAGGCAGCAGAACAAGATTAAGATTGAAGAAGCAGGAAAGCAAGTCCATGTTTAACAATAATTAAACCTTTGTACAAAAAAATTAAACCCAAAGGCTTCAAAGATTTTTATTTTGCTTTCAACTGCATTCCAGTCAAACACAAACACTCCCCTGCAGGAAGATCTGGTAAAATATAGTGTGTGTGAATGCAACAACAGGAGCAGAAGGATTTTACCTACAGCTCACTATTTGCAAACCCATCAGAGCATCAGAAATAAAATGGGGCCCATGGACATAATTGGTGTCTGGACATTTTCCCTATGTTGGATCACGTGCATGTCAGATCACATTTTCCCATAGACTTCAATGGGAACATTTATAATTGGTTCTCCTGTTTATTAAAAATTGATTAAAAATTGTTTCCCTCAATTTAAAGATATAAAAAATTGTGCAAAAGAGAACCTCA